ACGGTGGAAGGGGGAGGGCGGGTTGCAATGCAACCTGAGAATCCATTCAAAGGCCTCGGCGCAAAAAGTCAAAAGAAAAATGTGGTGAGGGGTGAAAAGCCAGGCCTTCGAGAAGAGGAAGGATGGGAAACCACTTCTCTGCCCCTTGTCCCGTTACCCCAGCGCCTGCGTCTTCCGCGCGGCACCCAAGTGTCCCCACAACTACCTAAATTCACTTACATCCTGTTAGCGCCCAGCCCGGCCAAGGTTTCTCAGCCAAACCGACCCTCAGGCCCCCAATCTCTCCGGCTGTTCTGTTCCTAACCCTTAACTTCCCCATCCCCCCAACCGGCCCCGAATTTGAAAAAAAAAACCGACCAAACCTCCAAATGCATTTTTCCAATGCACCCCAAAATGAACTTCCCCCCCAGACAGCCTCCAGGCCCTAGTTTGCCCCCTGTCTATATACCGTGATATTGGCGAAGGTTTTCCCGGGAACGGCGGCCCAGACCGAGGGCGAGTCTTTATAGCCGACTATGGCCGCGTCCTGACAGGTCCCGTCCGCCATGAGGTTGTCGATGTAGGCGTTCCAACCGGCCATAGCGCTGGCGGTCTGGCTCTGCTGCTACTGCGGGCAGGGGGTGACGGAGAGCTCGGAACACGCGCTGCTGTCCGGACTCGCAGCTCCGTTCTCTCTGCTGCCTTCAGCTCTGCTTCCTGCTCGTCCTGCTGCTCCTCCTCCCCCCTCCCCCCTCCTTTTTTTTTTTGCAAACGACAGTGGAGGCGGGGCCGCCTCTTCTTCCCCCCTCCCCCTCCCGAGACCAAAAACTTTGCAAATAACGATTTTTAAAACTACCCCCCCTCCCCAGCAGCCAAATTTGCCGAATGCATTAAAAGGAACTCTGGGCGGGAGTGAGGGTGGGAATGTAGGGTTAAGATGTTAGGTGCATCTTAGGGAATAAATCAAACTCCGGTAGGGGGGTAAGGACGGTGAAAACCGAGACTATGCAAGCCCCAAATAATGCAAATCGTAGGAAGGTCTGGCATAAACCGGTTTAAATTTTTAACCACTCTTTTTCTACCCCAGCCCCCAGCTCGGAATGCAGGGATGATTTACTCAGCCGCATGCGCTCGAAGGCCCAGGAGGAGCTGGAACTTGGGGAGGGCTGGGCGAGGCAGGGAGGGATGGAAGGAAAAGTCTCCTCCCCAGCGGGCCGTGAAGGGGTGGGGATCGTGGAAGTGGAAACTGGGAGTCGCCGCTGCGCCTGCGCGGGGATACGCATGCTCAGATTTTTTTTTTTTAAGCCGGGGAGGGAAGGAAACGTGTCTCTCCTTGGGTTCCTCGGTCGCTTCTCCCGCCAGTGCAGCCTTTTTTTCTCTCATGGCAGGGGGAAAGTAGAGGGAAAGAGAGGAAGGCTTACTAGGTTCCTCTGTTGCCCCTTCGGCGTCCTACGTGTGCCACTTCCCCACCCTAAGCAGGCCTCACGCCGCTCTCTGAAGTCCCTAGTTTCGCTGGGGAAATATCCCTCCGCTTTCGGCGGGACGGGAGCCCCACCCATAGTGCGGGGCCTCCCCCCGCTGCCTTCTCCTCCCCCTGCCACCGGGTTTGAGGCTGAGTGGGCCACCTGAGACAAGAGGAAGCCCCCTGGCGGGGAGGGACGAGCTTCTGGGGGAGGATCGAGGGATGGGACAACAGACTAAAGCACGTTGGAGAAGCGAGGACCAGGGAAGCTTTTTTTTTTCCTCCAAACTTTTTGCCGGGACACGAAGCGGTTTGCCAGCTTCCGGGCGCCGCTGGGCACGAGGCGGGGCAGGGCGGGGCCGAGGCGATCCGGGCGGCAGAGGCTGACGGAGCGGGCTCCCCCCCCCCATATTTCCCCCGACCAGGGGCTTGGCCGCTTCCGGTCGGCTTGCTTTCACTTAATTTCTAGAATCCCACCCGGTCTCTGCAGTACGGGGGGACCCAGGTGTGGGTCCCTACTACCCGAAGCCGCCCGGACTTCTGCCCCGGGCGGTGCCGGATTCTAGGGCTCGTGGCAGGCACTCGCCTCCCCGGATCGCCTGACCTCTGCACCCCTCCACACACACAGACCGAAGGGCGGAGCGGAAAATAACCCGGGGGGGGGGGACGGGCCCTGATTCTGGGAGATAAGCGAAGGGGGAGGGAGGGGCCCGAATGAGATAACGTGAGGTCGGCTTTGGGCATAGATGGTAATGGGATTGTGGGGAGAAAATCCCGAGACCCAAGTGAGTCAGGCCGACTGACTGGAGGCGCAGACCGGGGCTGGGAGGGTGGTGAGTCACGGAGGCTCCCAGGCGCCTGGAGAAAGGAGCCCTCGTCTGGGAGGAGACGTTAGGAACTCCCAGCCGGGTCCGTTTGCTTTTCTCCTTCACTGTCCTCCTACGGAGAGAGGGAGGGAGCACTGAGTAAAAGCCAGGGGCAAAGTCTCATTTAGAGAAACCAGAGGAGGCCGAGAGCCTCAGATTTAGGAGAGTTAAAGATTTAAGGCCTCAGAAGCAGAAAAAAACAAACAAACTCAGAGGTGCAAAGATAGAATGAGGGACTCAGGCACAGTAGACAAGACGGACCGGGAGATGTGAAGACAGAAATGATAGCACATAAAAGGAGACAGAAGAAAGACCCAACGAAAGACATGGAAAGACTAGAGAAAGATGGAGGCAAAAATTAACTCCGAGACTAAGAGACCAGGAGACATTTATGAAGTTTCAGTCAAAAGTACTAGGCACCAGGACAGACAGAAGACTGACACAGGAAGGTAGAAACAAATAGACTTGGAAATAAACATAGGGAGACAGACTCTGACACTTAATAGATAAAAGAGAGATTCAAGAATAGAGACAGACTTGGAAATAGACAAAAGGAAACAGATAAGAGACTTAGAAATAAAAATACTCAGAGATCCAAAGATAAACATTGACAAAAAATAGACACATAAGTATGTGACCATAGTTTCAGAGGCAGAAGGAATGAGGAAACAGGTCTACAATACTTGCCCAAGGTCACACATAAAAAATGGCAGAATCAGGACTCAAATTCGGGTCTTTTGACACAAATCCAGACCTCTTTTGAATATACCAGGATAGAAAGAAACTTGAGACCGATTTGGTGAGGCAGCGAAACAAGTAAATTCCAAATTATTCAGTCTTGATTTTGGAAAGGTCTTCTAAGCCCAACTTCCCAATGTAGGCGTCTCCTCCAGCAGCATCACTGACAGGTGTTCAGTAAGCCTATATTTGAACTTAAACATTGGGAGAAGGAAAAAGAGACACTGGTCAAACTTCAGATGGACATAGATACTAAGGGGCAGAGAGACAGAGGGGGCCAGGAACACATTCAGGCAGAGAAAGACATTCAAAAACAGACTCAACTACGAAGAAACTAATGGAGAGAAAAGGGGGAAAAAATAGAGCAGAAAGAGACTAACAGAGAGACATAGACAAGGACCCAGAGACAAGATTCCAGTGGAGATACAAGGAGATAGAATAGACGAAAATAGAGAGGAAAAGAGAGACTGATCACGAAAGACAGAAAGATTGAGGCCCACAAAGGTCTGTGTTTAAGTTTGCACACTGTATAGGAGGTACAGGGTTCCTTTCCTTTGAGAACTGATCCTTGAGGGAGGAGGGATCAGCAGCTTTAAGAAACCTAAGAAGAGAGACCTTTTGAACCCCAGTGGTTAGTAGAAACCTATACTCATACTGAGGCCCTTTTGCCAAATCCTGATCCCTCCCAATTTCCCCTTAAGACCCAAAGCCCCACTGCTGACAGTGCCTCTTTACCAGGAGGTATGTGGGTGAGTGTAGCCTCCCCTCCCCCAAGACCCCTCAGCAATCTATGCATGAAGGGATAGAGGCTCAGGTTACCCATTTGCCCTTTCCTAAAGGTCCATCTTTAACCTTTGCTGCTGGAAATTCAACCCAGGCAATGGGTAAGGGAAAGGCTTAATAGCTGACCCCCGCCTCCACTCGCCCCAGTTGAGCCCCTTTTGTGGGTGGCAAAATTAAGGAGAGGTGACTTTTTAGGGGAGGGCACAGCATCAGTGGGGGGGAGGAGTGTCTCAGGGACTATGAATTTGCCTTTGGTGGGCAACTAACTATTGGTGCCAGTCACTGAGCTGGGGAGGGGTAGACAGAGGAGGGGCTGGCCATGGGGCGGGGTCAGTAATAAATGCCAGGCTTAGGAGTGATAGCCTGACACTGTCCCAGCAGCAGGCCATACCCCTAGACCTTGTCCAAGGAACACCAGCTGTGGTGAGACCTCTTAGGCCCGATTCTAGAGGGGTAGGGGAGGAGCAGGGACGGATTCTTTCCCTCACCTCCTACACTAAGCTGTAATTCATAGTCACAGGCTGGGGAGAGACTGGAGAATGAGAAAGTTGGAGGGGATGGAAAGATAGATAGCTGAATGGGGGAGAGGATGGAGTAGAGCCTAGAGGTATTGAAAGAGGAAACAAGGATTTGGGGAAGACAAGACAAACAGGAGAGGGAGAGGGGATAAGGTAGAGACATAGCCAGGATGTGAGAATGATGGGAACATTAAGAGTAGGGTAAGTGGTGGTGGGGGGGGAATAGGATGGGGAGAGAGGGACAAAACTAGACTGGGGGGAGAGGAAGAATGAAGAGATGAGAGAACTAAGGGAATTAGAAGTGGTGTAGGGAACATAGTAGATTAAAACAGAGGTATGGTACTGAGGGACTGGAGGTAGGGACATGGGTAGGATGGCAGGATAATGGGAGTGAAATGAAGGAAAAGAGGAAAGTCTGAGAAGGTTGGAGGGAGATGAAAGGGATTGGGGGGGCAATTAAAAGGGAAAAGATTTTCTAGCAAAAGTTGGTTGGGGGATGGGAGGAGTTATGAATAAGGAAAAGGGAGCTGGGCTTCTCTGGTCTATGACCTTTTTCTAGGCTATTTTTAGTACTAGCACCTGCCTTCCTGGCTTGAGGAAGGACTTAAAGGGCATGGGAGCTTTTGGGGGTGTTTTTTTTTGGTTCTTTAAAAACTTCCCCACTGACAAAGTCCGCAGCCATGGCAATGCAGAAGATTTTTGCAAGAGAAATCCTAGATTCTAGGGGGAACCCCACAGTGGAGGTGGATCTATACACAGCCAAAGGTGAGAAGGGGAGCTTGCATGTCTTCAAATGTATCTCCAAACACACCTCTTCCTGACTTCTCTCCTCCACAGCTTTTCTTGGATTCTATAACCCACACATCCCTGTTACCCTTTCCTGGTACATTCCAGGCCCAAACTAAATGGAGTCCCCTAATCACCCAAACTCCCGGTTCCTCCTAGACTGCTTCTCAGCTAACTACTTCTCCAGCCCCTGGGACTCAGAAATAAGACCTATTTATCCCTTTGTCCCTGTTTCTCCTTGGTTTCTGTTTTGGGGCCCTAGAACCTAGGATTCCTCCCACTTGGGCTCTTGAGAGGGAAGTAGTCTTAACTCATTTCTACCCCTTACTCCTCAGGCCGATTCAGAGCTGCTGTACCCAGTGGGGCCTCCACTGGGATTTATGAAGCTCTGGAGCTGAGAGATGGAGATAAAAGCAGATACCTGGGGAAAGGTGAGATATTACTTTATGTTTGGGGTTTTTTTTTTTTTGGCTAGGCAGTGGGGTTAAGTGACTTCCCCAGAGTCACACAGCTAGTAAGTGTTATGTGTCTGAGGACGGATTTGAACTCAGGTCCTCCTGAATCCAGGGCCGGTGCTCTATCCACTGCCCCACCTAGCTGCCCCGAGATATTACTTTAAAGAGATTGTATGTCTGGGGAGAAATGGGAGGGTGGGCAGAGTATTGTACCCCATGGATGATGTTTGTGAACTTGGGATCTTTTTAGTCTAGGAAGCCAGAACCTTATTGATACCCAACCTCTACTCTCTTCCCTAGGAGTGCTGAAGGCTGTGGAACACATCAATAAGACTTTGGCCCCTGCTTTACTGGAGAAGGTAATAGTCAAGGGAACTGCCAGAAATCCCTCAAATTTGTCCCGTCTCTCCTACTTCTGGTACTTTCCCCTTTTTCACCCTCCATTCCCTACAGCCATTATGACTGAGCCTCTTAGGTACTTGCCTAATTCAACCACAATCAATCTCTTGTATGTCTTTGTTTTTTATCTTCTCTCATCCAGAAATTGAGTGTTGTGGATCAAGAAAAAGTTGATAAATTCATGATTGAACTTGATGGGACAGAGAACAAATGTGAGTGAGGGGGTTTCAAGGAAGAGGGGACCAGAGAATAACCCCATTCCCAATGGGAGGGGCCTGGAGGGGAGAAGGTTCTCACTCCAAGTGAAGAAGTATCTCACATCACTGGTTTCTCTACAGCCAAGTTTGGGGCCAATGCCATCCTGGGTGTGTCTCTGGCTGTGTGTAAGGCAGGAGCAGCAGAGAAGGGAGTCCCCCTCTACAGACACATCGCAGATCTTGCTGGGAATCCAGACCTTGTGCTGCCAGTACCGGTTAGCTTTTTTTGACCCTGGGACAAGGGTCATTCCTTTCAACTTGGCCTTAAGACAGGAGTTACCCCCCATTTTCAAGGGTAAAAACTCTTTAGGAAGTCTAGACCCCTACTTCACTGCCCATATGGATCATTTTCTAAAGTATAGCCTCCTTCTCTGTGTTGCTTTGTAGTTCAGCACCCTATCCTGTCTTTCCCAGGATGAGGGCCTGGGACTGTCTTTCCCTAACTCTTATCCTACTCCCTGCAGTCCTTTCTGTAGTCTGGATCACTCACATTTCAAATGGAGTCTAACTTCAAATCAACAAGCATTTATTAAGTTCCTACTATGTACAAGGCATCGTGCCAGGCACTGGGGATACAAAAATGAAAGGGGGCACGATCCTGTCATCAGTGATTTTACAGGATAATAAGGGAGAAACCCACATAAACTACAAATAGGAATAATACAAGGCAGAATGTAATAAAGGCAGAAAAATTATTCCTTCCAGCAAAGAGTAGTAGCTGTGTCATCAGGCATATATCCATTCTTGGAGGAGGTAGTACCTGAGCTAGGTAGAGGAATTTCCTTCCAAGCAAGAGGATTTCCTTCCAGCTCTAAATTTCTAATTCTGATTTCAACAGGCAAAAATGTAGAGTATTGTAAGGTGGGGATATGAAGAAAACAGGTGACTAGGATGTTTGACTGAAATACAGACTGAAGAAAGGAGTTGGAGTGGATTATCATATGCCCAAAACTACAAGAAATATTATTTCATATCATTTGGTCATCACATTTTACAGTACTAATGTAAAATAAGGCTAGGCATACGCTGAAACTGGATGATAGACAGCCTTAAAGGAAAGGTAAGGAGTTTGTATTCTATACAATAGGATAGTGAGCCACTGAAGACTTCTGAGCAGACTTTTGCTTCAGACAGTTTTAGAAGTTGTGTGAAGGATCAAGAAAAGTGCAGATCACTGAATTTGGAATTGAAAAAGGAATGATGAAGGGACAGGAGAGATGGGGCTGAGAGGCAAGTGAAGGTCTGAGAAAGAGGATAAACAAATGGGAGTAGTGTGAGAGGGATGGACTTAAGAGATGTGGTGGAGGTAGAATCAACTAGAACCAGTCTTGTTTGTGCAAAGGGACTGTTTGCCATTTGAAAGTGGAGACCATGTCTTAAGAGTTTCCTTCTGAATCACTGAATTAAATTCTTCCCTTAGGGAAATCTGTAGAATTTAATGTCCAGTCTTCCCTCTAGAGCTCGTCTATTCTCATGCTACAGTCCTAGTGTTATCTCACTCCCTCTCTCCCACTATGGTCAGAATCTGAACCTCCCTCTACTTAATTTCCCCCAGGCCTTCAATGTAATCAATGGGGGATCCCATGCTGGAAACAAGTTGGCCATGCAGGAGTTCATGATCCTGCCTGTGGGGGCTGCATCGTTCAGAGAGGCGATGCGTATTGGGGCTGAAGTCTACCACCATCTAAAGGGTGTCATCAAGGCTAAGTATGGGAAGGATGCCACAAATGTAGGCGATGAGGGTGGGTTTGCCCCCAACATCTTGGAGAACAATGAAGGTCAGTCAGTGGGGTGAGGAGGGGGGAGGAAAAGGATGGGTCCATAAAGCAAATAGGGGCTAGAGGGAAAACTGGGGTCTTACTTCTTTAATTTCCCCTTTACCCCCAGCCTTGGAGTTGCTGAAAACAGCCATCCAGGCAGCTGGTTACCCAGACAAGGTTGTGATCGGCATGGATGTTGCTGCCTCTGAGTTCTATAGAAGTGGGAAATATGATCTTGACTTCAAATCCCCCGATGATCCTGCCCGATACATCTCTGGGGAGAAGCTAGGGGAGCTATATAAGAGCTTCATTAAGAACTACCCTGGTAAGGGACTCAAGGACCCCATCCTTCCTTCCCCCTTACAGAACTCCAGAACCTTATTCCCTTGCCTCTCTAATTTATTCTGTCTACTGTATTTTCTTTGATCCTAGTGGTCTCTCTTAACTGCTACATCTAATAATAATAACATATATCTTTAGTGACATAAAGCTTTTCTTCCAACACTCATTTTCAAATGAGGAAATACAAAGTCAGAAATCATTAAATTGAGAATTAGAGGAATAGAGAGAAATAGAGAATTGATCTAGTTTAACATCCTTATTTTATAGAAAAGGGAACACGCTTAGAGAGGTCAAATGATTTGCCCAAGGAACTCCCATATTGAGAAGCAGAGCTGGGGTTCCCAACACAGGTCCTCTGAATCCAGACCCAGTGTTCTTGCCCCTCATTTGTGCCCAAGGTTAGAGCTGTGATTTGAACCCAGCATCTCTGACAACAGGTCCATTGTTTTTTTCACTCCATTAAAGCACCTCTCTCTGTTCTTACTCTAACCCTCTCCCCATGCTCTCCTTCATTCCCCACACAGTGGTTTCCATTGAGGACCCCTTTGACCAGGATGACTGGGCCACATGGACTTCATTTCTTTCTGGAGTTAACATCCAGATTGTGGGTGATGACCTCACTGTCACCAACCCCAAGCGCATTGCCCAAGCTGTAGAAAAGCGAGCCTGTAACTGCCTCTTACTGAAAGTCAACCAGATTGGCTCTGTCACTGAATCCATCCAGGCGTGAGTCCCCAGTGGGCAAGATGGAGGGAGGTGGGAATCACCCCGTGCTCTAGAAATTCACCCATGAATTAGTTATTCTCCTACGCACATATCCCTGGTCCAATCTCCCTCTATCCAGAAGCCTCACCAGGAAAATTGAAGGTAAAAAAATCTCTTTCACCCTTGTCAAGAATCCCCGATACATGTTTTATGTACACATGATCCTCTCCCCCGTTGCCTCCCTCCCCCAGCCAAGTTCTTTGAATACATTGTAAGTACTTTAAAAATGGATGTTGCATGAATGGATGAATGAATTGGGTTCAAACCAAAGGGATCATGGGATCACAGACCTAGGGCTGGAAGGGATCTCAAACTGTGTAGTGCAATGCCCCCTTTTTAGAGATGAGGAAATTCATCTGTAAGGAGGTTGAAACTTGCCCAGGGTCCTCTGGTTAGTAGGTGTCAGAGGTAGAGTTTGAACCCAAGTCCTCTGAGTTGAGTCTATGCTCTTTCCACTGCAATGAGCCTGGGCCCCTCTCTCTGTAGTTGCAAACTGGCACAGACTAATGGCTGGGGAGTGATGGTTAGCCACCGATCTGGAGAAACAGAAGACACCTTCATAGCTGATCTGGTGGTGGGACTCTGCACTGGCCAGGTAGGGAACAGCACATCCCCTCATCTCCTTGTGGCCATCAGAGCTAAGTGTTCTGGAGGCTCTCACTCGTCCCTGAATTTCCTCTTTCCCAGTATGTCCCCCATCCCTGGATTGTGGTATTTCTCCATTTGACTCTAACTTTCCTTCTATGTCTCATTATATTAGATCAAGACCGGGGCCCCCTGCCGTTCTGAGCGGCTGGCCAAATACAACCAGCTCATGAGGTACCTGGATGCTGCAGGTGGAAGGGAGATTGGGGGTGTCCTAGGGAAAAAGTGAGGCAGAGGTAGACCAGGAAGTGGCCATTCTCATTGCTGTTTTATTTCCTGCCTAGGATTGAGGAGGCTCTTGGAGACAAGGCTGTCTTTGCTGGGCGGAAGTTCCGTAACCCCAAGGCCAAGTAAATGGAGGGCGCCATGTCGTAGATCAACAGAGGCATCTGAGTTCATCACCATCTCAACCACTCCTCTCAATAAAGCACTTTGGACAGCAAGAATGACTAGGGCGTAGTGGTTTGGGATCAGAAAAGGACATCTTAGTCTCAGGGAGGGGACAGGAGAAAGGGACATCCCTATTGAAAAAAGAGTAGCAGCACTGTGGAATAAAAACACCACAGACTTGTAGGCAGCAGACATGAGGGTGAAGGTCTATATGACCTTCCCCTTTTTCAGTCTGTTTCCTCATTTATTAAATGGAGGTAATAATATTTGTACCATCCACCTCCTGGGGCTGTTGTGATAATCAAATGAGATGACAGATGTGAAGTCACTTTGTAAATCAAAGCCCCTGCATAAATGTCAGCTACTACTAGTAGTAGATGACCATTGGGGAAAGAAAGAGAAAATGAAAGCTGGTCAGAGAGGAAGTTTGGGCTGAGCTATAGAAAGGAGACACAATATAAAAACATCATGGGGTGGAGGGAGGAGAGAGACAAAACCCTGAGAGCAGAAGTTGCTGGAAAAGGTCAAAGAAGTGAAGCCTCCCAGTAGGGTAGAGTGGAGACGGTGGCAGCTGTATTTTAAACAGCTGTGAGGGGAAGAAAATTTGGATCAGATTTGACCAAAACAAACCAAATTGATTTTGAGAGGTACATCGGGTACAGCAGCAAAAGAGGCTTGAAGGTTCTAGGCCCAGCTCTTGCCATTAACTCACCATGTGACCATGGGCAAGTCAACTTTACCTCTCTGGGGCTCACTTTTCCCACCTGTTAAATAAGGGAATGCAAGGTTTTTTTGGCTCTAAAAATTCTAATTCCAAGGTCTGATCCTCCCCCAAAAGCAAACATCCTTGTCCCAGGGTCCATGACTTTCTTCACACTCAAGTCACTCCCAGCAAGGATTCAGTTATCTGGTTTGCCCCACGCACAAACCAGCACATGGGGTCAAAGTGTTTATTGAGCATAAAGTTACTTTAGCCTTGAGGGAAGAGAAATACCCCCAGGAAAAGGGAGGATAATATAGATTAAATATTCACTCTTACATTCTGTCACACATCTTTTGGGGGAAATTGGAAGGAGATTCACTCAACTACCCCATATAACCAACATTTAAAAAATCTAAAACCACTCAAACCAGATCACCATAGGAGAGCCTCCATACCCATCTCTCCAACCTAATGGCTCCACTGGGAGGTCAGAGGTCAACCTCTGGCATGGTCATCAGAAGTCAAGACAAGGTGGCATTGTGGTGCCTGAAACTTCATCCATGGCCCCATTCCCCCTTTTCAAAGCCACAGGGGGGTTGTGAGATAGAAAGACAAAGGACCTAGGAGCCGGGAGTCCCTTCCTCTCCACTCTGACGAAGGCGTTTCTTGGCACGGATCTCATTCATGGCCTCCTCAATGGAGCGTGTGTCCCTCTTATTGGCTACTGGAACTAGGAATGGGAGCAAAGGAGGGATGTGAAGGGACTAAGAATTCTCTTAGTACTCAGCTTTCCATCCTGCCACCATTGCCCTTAAAGACCACGACATCCAGAGCCCTAGTTCTCCCCTAAATCCAAATCTCTTTCCTCTTCCCCTTGTTTCTCCCTCACTTCACTCCCTCCAACCCTGTCCACCATCGCTCCCCATCCTCTTACCACAGCCATAGGTCTTGTTGGCCTGTAGCATGTGGGCAGCATCCTTGGCTGCCCCTTTCCCAATGAGGTGACTGTATTTGTCCTTGTAGTCACTCACAGGACTCACCACAGCAGGGCCTTTCTGGGCAGCTTCTTCCTCTTGCCACTGGGCTAACTCCTGAAGAAGAGAGTGGGAAGAAGTGAAGTCTGAGGTTAAAGGCTTGGCTACCAGATTCCCTATGAAAAGCAGGAGTCTGAGGGAGCCTACAACTGGCAGAGGCACTTATTTTACCTTAAGTCTCCGTTTCTCCTCTGCCTGCTGTGGATCCCACTCCTCCCCACGGCGGTATGAGTCAAGCTCTTCATCAGAAGGCGCAAACTCCTTAGGAGTGAAGGGAACAACATAATCAGGATCTCATAGGATCCACCTTGATCCAAATGGGCCTGTCCCCTGACCCCCTTGGGAAAAGGACTGGTAGACTGGAGAGTCAGGAGAGAAAAGAAGGATGTCTTTCTCACCTTCTTGAAGATCATGACGTATCGACATTCATCATCCTCCCCAAAGGAGAAGGATGTCAGGCCAGCCACCTCCACAACATCATGTCTGGGTTGATGAACAGAGGAGAGTGAGTATGCATGGAAGGATGAGAACAGCAGAGGGCCCGGGAGGGTCTGTGACCCCCACCTAAAGGATTCTCTAACCCCGTGTTGGTTCTTCCCACCCTTACCCTAATCTCAAATAATAATCACAATAATAATGTTACATTCATAGAGAGTTTTACTGTTTACAATTCATCTCACATACTTCTCATAACTCTGACCATTTTACAAATGCAGAAACTGAAGGTCTGAAAATTAAAGGGACTTGCCTATAGTCACATAGTTGACAAGTGACTTAAACCAGGCATTCTGACTCCAAACCTAATCCTCTCAGCATGACTGCCTCCCCAAGTGTCCTGTCCCACTTCTCCACCTCCACCCCTATTCTCTCAGCCCCTTCACTCACAATATACTCCTCTCAATCTTGTTCATTGGCTGGAACTTTCTCTTGGTCTGACCACTGTCCTGGATGAAATCTGACACCTCTTTCTCCATCTTGGGAAGAAGTGGAAAGAGAGAAGCCATAAGATGGGGGTGTTCCTCTCCACTCCCACCCTACTGCACTCAGATGGAACCAGCTACACTTCCAGGTCTACTGCCTCTCTCCATACCCAATGTTCTTCAAGGTTCCTGCTCTCCTAGAAAATCAACCCAACCTCTCAATTCGGCAACTTAAGGAGTTTCTCCCCAAAATGTACTTTCTAGCCCTCTTGCCACACATACCCGCTTTCGAAATTCCACTTTCTGACGCTTCTCCTGCTCCTGCAATTTCTTCAAGCAAGCAGCCTGTTCTAGAAATGAGAAAGGAAGTCCTAAGCAAACAATCCAAGAACAAGTTTTTATCAACCACCTACCATAAGCCAGGAACTCTGTTAGGTGCTATGGATTCAAAGATGAAAGTAAAATAATCCCTGTCTGTAAGGAGCTTACATTATATAGGGAGAAACAACATGTGCATATATAGGTATATTCAAAATAGATACAAGATGATTTGGAGGGAAAGGCTTCATGTAGATGGTGGGTGCTTGAGCTCAGCTATAAAAGAAACAGTAATTTATTTATTTATTTATTTTTTGGTGAGGCAATCAGGATTAAGTGACTTGCCCAGGGTCACACAGCTAGTGTCAAGTGTCTGAGCTCACATTTGAACTCAGATCCTCCTGACTCCAAGGCACACCTAGTTGCCCCAGAAACAGTAATCTTAAAGAAATTTTTATTGTTTTTTTGTTTTTCTCTTTCTCTTTTTTTTTTTAAAGGCAATTGGGGTTAAGTGACTTGCCAAGGGTCACACAGCTAGTAAGTGTCAAGTGTTTGGTCTGAGGCCAAATTTGAACTCAGGTCCTCCTGACTTCAGGGCCTGCGCTCTTTCCACTTTGCCACCTAGCTGCCCCTGTTTGTTTATTTTTAAACCAATTAAATCCCCCTCCCCACCTGCATTCCCCTCCTGGTCATCCCATATAATAAAAAGTATTTTTTAAAGAAAAAAAAGGAAGAAGGGGGAAAAAGTTAGCTAAACCAACAATACGGTTTAAAAATCTGATAATAAATGCAGTCCTCTCTTTTCTTGCTCAGTTCCCCAAGAAGGGGTGGGAGTGGGAGGAGGTGTCTTCTTTCTTCTTTTGGGGCTATGCTTGTCCTCTGTAATTTTGCAACATTCACTTTTGATTTTGTGTGTGTATGTGTGTGTGTGTTGTGTGTGTGTGTGTGTGTGTGTGTGTGTGTGTGTGTGTGTGTGTGTGTGTGAGAGATGCTCTGAGAAGTAGTGGGCTCTCCCTCACAGAGGTGTTCAAGCAAAGGTTGAGTAACTATTTGTTATATTTTAGAGATTCTTGTTCAAGTAAGGGATTGACTCTATGGCCTCTGCTGTCTTCTCTAGTGTTCTGGGAGTTTCAGTGCTCAGACTCTCTGATTCTATGCAGGAATTAAGTTGGGGTCATGGATAGATTTCAACAGTTGGATGGGGGGAGGGGGGAAAATGACATCCTTCTTTTCACTAACCTCTACCTGAAATGTAGCTTTTCCTCCAATTATGAAAAATGTAGGTGACAGACATTCTGAGGACTCCATAGACTTCACCAGACTGCCAAAGGAGTCCATGACACCAAAAAAGGTTAAGAATCTCTGTTCTAGTGACAAAAATCTGATTCATGTTCATCCACTACTGGGGATACTCAATTCAACAAATATTTATCAAGTACCTGCTGTGCGCAAGGTAAGATCTATGTGAGGAAGGCAAAGCTAAAAACAAAACATGCCCTGATCTTCAGGACTTTACATTCTGCTAGGGAGGATTCAACATATACAGAATTAAGTAAATGCAAGCTAATTTAGGAGGGAAAAGGGAAGGATACCTGGAGGAGGTGGCAGCTCAGTTAAGCCTTGAAGGAAATAAACATTCTGAGAGGCCAATATAAGGAGAGCATCCATTTGGCAGCTTATGCAAATATGGAGATGGGATGGTGAGTTCAGGGAACAGCCAAGAGTCTAGTCTGGCTGTACATAGTGGGTGAAGAAACCTGATATGAAATGAGCTGAGGAGGCTGGGGATGTGAACACTTCAGATCTACAGCAGTGTAACAGAAAGCACAAGATCTGAGTTCAAATTTCACCTCGGTACAATGAAAGATCACTGGATCTCAAACAAGTCACTCCACTACTCTAAGCCTCAGTTTCTTCAAATGTAAAATGAAGAGATTCAACTAAGCTGTATCTAAGGTCCCTTCCAACTCTAAGGCATCCTATGACACTAAGTCACTTCGGTTTCCTTATTTATAAAACAAATATAATATCTGTAGTACTTAATTCTCAAAGTAGTTTGTATATAAAGTGCTTTTATTATTACTATTATTTTTTGGACTGGATCTGTTGATTCCATTGGTATATAAGGACCTCCTTATATTTCCTCCATGGAGGAAACTTATTTACCAAGTTTCCTTGCTGGGACTGGCACCTGCACTGCAATTTAAAGTCTTAAAAGAGTTTCCTGGGGCACTAAGAGATTCAGTGACCTTCCCAGAGTCACAAAGCCAGGATGGGAATGACTCAGGTCTTCCTCACTCCAAGGCCAGCTCTCTATTCCTTTCTCTTTGTTATTGTTGTTGTTGTTGTTGTTGTTATTATTATTATTATTATAATAATATAAGTACCTACAATATCCAATGTTACTTACATGTTAAGTACATTAGAGAAGTAAAAACAAAAATGCTCTGTGAGCTCTTGGGTGTGTTATTATCAACTTTGGGTAAATCACTCAGCCTTTCTGGGTCCCAGTTTTCTCAACTATAAAATGACTGGGCTGGACAAGATAACCTTTCAAGGTCCTTACAATTCTAAATCCACAATTATGTGAACTGTAAGGATTAGGAAAAGCTCCATGGAGGAGGTGACATTTGAACTGGTTGGGTAGGAATTCAATAGGAGGAAGTATGTGTATGTGTGGAGAAATGAGTGTTCTGGGTATAGGAAACAACTTGAGAAAAGACAAAGAGATGGGAAAAGTATGAAGTATATATGGGGCACAATGAGTAGTCCAATTTGGCTGAAGTTTAGAGTAAGGAAAACCTAAGGTTCTGAATGCCAGGGTCAGTGTTCCTTGTTGGGTAAAAGAGAACCACTATGGGTTTTTTGGGCAGAAGAATGACATCAGATAAGTGAAAGGTGTAAAACAATTACGTAGCTGAACTTTACTACATATAAGGCACTGTGTTATGAACCTGTGACAGAAAGAAGAAAAGTCTAAGATAGTTAATCCAATGCAGTGGACTGAGCACAGGACTTGCAATCTGGAAGACCTGAGTTCAAATCTTGTCTCAGACACTTACCAGCCACCCAGGCAAGTCACTTAACCTCCATGTGCTTCAGTTTCCTCATCTATAAAATCAGGCTAGTAAGAGCACTC